AGGGATTACGGTGTGACCATCTCCCCTGGGGGGTGATTTCTCGCTTTCTGTCTCTATGTCTCTCTCTGTCTGGCGAGCGCACACGCCCTACAGCAAAAACCTCTCCAAAAAAAAAAAAAAAGGAGGGAAGAACATTTTGCATGCCCTTCTCATCCAACACACATGTGCAGTTGAAGGGTGACATTTCCCACTGACCCTTATGGCTCTGGAGAGGCAATGCAAGAGAGTGTTTAAGAGCACAGGCTCAGGGACCAGGCTGTCTAAGATCAAAACCTGGCTCTGCCGCTTTCTCACTGTGTGACTTTGGGCAGCTATTTACCATCTCTGTGCTTCTGTTCCCTCAGCTGGAAAATGGAAATAGCAGAATCTATGTGGGGAGGAGTCTTTTAAGTAATAGTTGTAAAGCACTTAGAATTGCACCCTGTGTAAAAGGAGTGCCTCATAAGTGTCTCAACAAATGAATTCTGAGAAGTAGTATCCTCTGGGGTCTGATCACTAATGGAGAAGGAGAGAGGGAGACAACGGCCCATAACCTTGCAAGAGCTGCCTCCTCCCTCCTCCCTCCTCCCCTGGTTTCCATGGTGATGGGTAGCAGATGGAGTTGAACTGCCTGAGTTTCTTCCCATCTGCCTGGCAGCAGAGCAGGGAGCTGCCTCTCCAAGCTAGGAATGACCCAGTTTCCTGGGTCCCCAAACTGATGGAGAGCAAAGAGAAAACTGTCCCCAGGAGAACTGAAGAGGCTCTCAGCCTTGAGCCACTGACACGACCACAGCCACGTTTCCTCGTTTGCCAAGGTGACCAGGAGAGAAAACTTGGTTCACAGTGGAATGAAGCTTCGGGGCTAGCTACCCCACCCAGAAATGACTCGTCCAGGGCTGCAGTCCCAGCAGCACCTGCAGACTGCTGCTACCTGGGCCCTCCCACGTCCTAACCCACCCATGCCTCTGGTGGGGCCTTCCTGTGTGTCTTCTGCACTTTCCAGCCCCACTGCTCCCTCTAGAAGCCTCTCTACTCCAGTTTCCTGAGGGTGATCGGAGCTTTCCTGAGGGTGATCCGCCTGCACTGCTGAAGTACTCACCAAGGTCACATCAAACCAGTCCTGAAAAGAAAGTGACAGCAGCTGGGGGGCTGTCAGGGACAGAGGCTAGTTGCTCTGCCCTTTGACTGCAGATGGCCATTCTGCCTTGGGTTCAACTGCCCGGTGGCCATGTGTGGGGTCTGGAGCCTGGGAGAGGTGTACCTCACTGCGTGGGGAGACACATGGGCATCTCTCTCCAACTTTTTTTAGTGATGGCTGTCTTCACAGAGATTTTTTTTTTTTTTTTTTTTTTTTCATGAGCTAATTTCTCACGGAAGCCTCCTCTGCAGAGGCAGTTGGAGTTCCGAGGTAGGAGGGGAAAGTGGCTTCCCTTTAAATCAGAGGCTCTGCAAGGTTCTTACATCTGAGTGACAGAGCTCAGGGCCAGCATCCATGGCTGGGCGGAAGACGCCATATCAGAAAGGCACCCTCTGGGTCCTATGTCCACCTTCCCAGCATTCCCTGGCCCTGACCACTGCTCTGGGGGGGGTGAGGGGTCTCACCCCACTTCCTCCAACACCTCCTCATCGTAGTCTCCAAAAGTGTCCTCTCAATGTAATCCTTTAAACACTACTAGAAGGGCACCACTGCAGAGCCTCCACGGGGCTGCCTCTGGGTTGATCTCACCCTCCCCTGAGGGACTCCCCAGAGAAAGGCAGGCGGTCTTCCCCCAGGGGCTGTTTTGCCCAGGCCAGCTGGGAGAGGGCAGACAGGACGTCAAAAGGGCCCTGCAAAGAGCTGACTCATCCTGGAGCAATCAGCTCCCCTCCAGCATCTGAGTCCTAAAAATACCATCAGTAACACCTCTTGTCTGAAAAGCCTGGTCCTCACAATAACCCACTGGGCCCCATGTCTTCAGTTGAGGATGCAACAGCTTACAAAGAGCATGTCCCCTGCCCAAGGACACACAGCCCAGGGTGGGGATTATGGAGCCCAATAAGCCTGATTGACAAGTCTACTCAGGGCTGTGCAAGGTTCCCACTTACCCAACCAGCTCACCGCATTGAAGAGCATGTGCTTGGCTCACCCAACAACATGTCCAGGTCTATAAAACTGCAGAGTTGTCTGTTTCCCTACCGTTTCTTCACCAACTCCTCTACAGGGCTCTGTGAGGACTCATACTCCCCATCCACCCTATCCTTTTCTATTGGGCTGTTGGGAAAGTCATGGTGGATTTTTGCATAGAAAAACATGGAAATATCTGTCGTGACTTTCCCAACAACCTAAGAATTAGGGGACTTCACCTCTGGCTTCCGCAGCAGTTCAGGTTGCCACTTGAGGAGCACCAAACACTCCACCTTGGCTTGCCTTTCACGTCCCTTTCCAGGCTTGACTGTGTTCCTGATCTTTGCAAACCCCCAACCCCCTCCCAAAAGAAAACCTACCCGTGCACATATATCAGACCTAGTGAGGCGTAGCAGGTACACCCAGGGTAACAGGGCATGGCAAGAACTTTTACATGCCCATTACAGTTTTTTCTCACCATTCGATCAATGAGCTAAGACAGCTCCCCATTCTGGACACTGACCCCCAAGAGTTGAGTATTACTTGTTGGACCATCATGATCCATTTCTCAAAGCCACAGAACTGAGTCTAAGTATAACACTTCAGAAAGGGAAGGTGGTACCAAGGCAGAGGAATTGAGCAAGACTTAGAAGGCTAGGCTCAAAGGACCCCACGTCACAGTGAACAGGGCCGCCCTCTTGGCCCACAGGCCCATCACGGCCAACCCCCAGGCCCAGGTCCGGCACTTGCTCACCTGTATCTCACACGCAGCCTGCAGGTGGAAGACCTTATAAAACGCCTCCTCTACGGTGTCGCCTAGAGCAACCACTCCATGGTTTCTTAGCACCAGGATCTAAGGGTAAAGGTAAAGAGCCAATGAAAACCTTAACTTTCTAAACTGTACCTAAGAGGGAGAGTGTTTCATTTTATTTAGATCAATTTTCATACCTAACCTCAGGACTCCCCTACCCTCCACCCACATATGATTTTCATCCAAAGCGTCCACCCTTAGAAACGGAAATGGCATCTTTAAACAGAGACTATATGACTTGGTGAATTTCTTTGGACAATACCTGGGGTGTAGGTGTTAAAGAACTTAGAAGTTTGGGACCAGCAGATGGTGTAATGGCTACGTTGCTTTGGACTCCTGCATAGTCAACTGTGGTTCGAGTCCCAGACCCAGCAGCTTTAACTCATGCCAGGCGTGTTTGCGTGTGTACCCAAAATCCCAAGAAGAGAATGGAGAAGAGACTGTGGTGTGGCCATCCCCCCCTCCACCTGGAGGGTGATTTCTCACTTTATGTCTCTCTGTCTCTCCAGTGAGCACACATATCCTATAGCAAAAAATCTCTCAAGAAAAAAAAAAAAGGGCTGGCATGTGGCATGGTGGTTAAGGAGGCTGGACTCTCATATAGCCAACCAGGGTTCAAATCCCGGAACTGGCGGCTTGCTTTCTCACTTGTCCTCTCTCTCTCTCTCTCTCTCTCTCTGTTCCTCTCTGGTCAAATTAAAAATAAATAAAGTTAAATAAAATAATTCTTAAAAAAAAAAACAACTCAGAAGTCTGAAAACCTGATGTGTGTGTAAAAGTGAATGGAACGATGTGCTGCCCAGTATAAAGGTCAACCCTCAAAAGCAATCTCTTAAGGTTGTGACTTAGCTGACTTGGGGTGAGAGGTGGCTCTGCAGAAACACGCGAGTCACAGCCTCTCTCTGGGCCTTGGGTTTCTGCTCCCGAAGCTCAGTGAGGTCTTGCCAACTCTGAGACCCCACAGCTCCATGAGAGGAGCACAGACCTTCTAATCTAATGCCCTGGTTCCGTATAGAGGAAACAGAGCCTAAAGAGATCACAGTCTTGCAGCTGACTCAGGGCAGAATCCCCTGAACGATAGTCAGAGGTGCTGGCATAGGTGCAATGTCTCTGTGTCTCTCTGACTCTATAGAGGTCAGGTGGATAAAGGGGTGGGGGACCAGGAGTGAACTTTTACCAAGATCACAACTCCCCAGGTCCAAGTGTACCTTCCCAGCCAGGAATTTTTCTTGGCTAGTGTCACCCTCAAGAGCTCTCTGAAACCAGAGGATGCCCACCTGGGAGTGGGGACACAGATCCACATGTGGGATCTGTCCTTCCAGGGCCTGGGCAGAGGCGTGGAGCCTCTGCACATCGCATCATCTCCTTCTGATGTCTTGTCTTCCTCTCAACTTCCAGAGACATGGAAAGAGATGACGACTATGGCTCACAGGCTATATTACAAAATGGTGGACACCCCCTCTCTCAATTCTCGCTGCACTTCAGAGACATGAACATCTCCTCTCTCCCCAGCACTGCTGATGAAGCTTGGAGGGTGTCAGGAAAGAGATGGATTTCTGACCCGTGTGAGATATGGGGAGACACACTCAGAAGGAGAAAGATCAGGCAGTCACTGCCTTACGAGGATGGGGCAAGCACCCCTCAGCCCAGGCTGGGTTCCGGGCTCTTCCACACTGAGGCGACCACTCCCAATTATAGGCTATTAAAAATAGGGCTTCAGAGTTAGGCCAAGCAATTAGGAGATTCTGTTTTTCTCTAGCATGTGGTGAAAAATAAATAAATAAAAGTGATAACACTCGAGTGTGGAGAGACTGCAGGGAAATTGCATTCTCGTGTACCACACATGGGGTGGGAGAGGGAACAAACTTGGGGCGGTGGGATGGGGCAATATAAAAACACAAGATCTAAAAAAGAAAAGAAAGAAAGGAAAAAATAAAAGTTCTAAATGTGCACCCTAGCCATTTAGCCTAAGGAATCATCCCAAGCACATACACAGATTTAGCGGAAAGGATTTTCATCACAGTGCCATGGCTATTAAGAGAGAATTTGGGAAAATAAAATAAATAAAACTCTTCCAAGGTCCACCCACAGAGGACTGTGCAGCCAAATGGTGACACAGCCATTCACACAATGTGGTTATCATTTAATCATTTAAAATAGTGATAGGGAAAATATTTAATAGCATACAAAGGTGCGCACTGTCCCTTGCTAAGGGGGAAAAAAAGGAAAACTAAATGTTACCCAAGCTTTGTAAAGATGTGTGAATATATTCAGAATGCACACCCAAATCTCAGGGTAATATGATAGTTTTCTTTTCCTTCCTTCCTTCTTTCCTTTCTTTTGGTATAGCTGCAACTTTGTGTGTGCGTGTGTGTGTGTTTAGTTGCTATAGGACATTTGTACTTGCCAGAGAGAGACAGAAAGTGAGACATCACCACCTCCCCCCACCCCACCCCCCGGGGAGGATGCTCATGCTTCAATCCCTTCTCCTCCATTCTTCTCTTGGAGTTTTGGGCACACACACACATGCACCCGGTGTGTTTTTCAAGCTGCTGGATCTGGGATTCATACCATCACAGCTGGCCATGTGAGATTCAGCTGTCTTAACCTCCACTTCACCTGCTGGCCCTATCTGCGATTTCTAAACGTTCTCTAATGAGCATATGCCACGATTGTGACCGCTGGCTGTTGACAATGCCACCCAGAGCACCTTCCCAGAAGAGCTGAGCAAACCTTGCAGGTGGGTCCAAGGCACTTCTGCAGGTTGATCCGATCAGCTTCCTGCTCCATTTCCCCATTGAAGTCGTAATAGGCCATGTCCCCTACCAGCAGGGCATTGTGGGAGACGGGCAAAAGGCCCCACTTCATGGCTGACACCTGGAGGGGAATGACGGAATGGTTAGCTCCGACAGCCCCCAGCCCCACTCTGTCCCATGTGCCCTGGCCTCAGGCAGCACAGTCCAGTCTGCTCTGTGGGCCGGTGGGGGGGCAGAGGCAGGGGGTGGGGTGGGGAAAGGAGCTGCACACAGGAAATCCTCTGCCTCCTTGCCACTGCCTTGACTCCGCCTTCACTTGGCTCTGCCATCCGTTTCCATGGCAGCAGCGTCCATGCACCACCTTTGAAGCCTGCTGGGAAGAAAGCATTCCAGAGAGCTGCTGCCATTCCTGCCCTGGCCTGGCTCTAGTTGTAGGTCCGGGTAGAGGCAGCGTGTGACAGAACTGCACTAGGCTGGGGTGAAGCAGCATCTGGATCCCCTAGACGGGCTAGCGGAGACCCCCAGCTTTGTTCTGTGCAAACCCAGGGCAGAGATGGTCATGCCTCCTCGCGAACAGGGAGCCAGCTGAGAAGCCCCACTTTAAGGCACTAGGCAATATGCACGCCAGGGAATGGGGTTAAAGCCTGGCGGTCACTCCCCCCTCCAGCTTTTATTAAAAGTGAGGAGCATGGGGGTTTAGAAGAGCCCCTGCCATTTGTCTTCTTCTGCCCCTGTGTCAGCCCTGAGCCTGGCTGCAATGCTCACTTAGCACAGATCTGTCACCGAGTCTTAGCTCAGGTCTTGGAGGGTCTGAGTGCTCCTACAGTGGACTTCATAAAGAAAAACAAGAGTCGTGCCAGTCCTGCTCTGCCCCCCGAGGGTGTGCGGCCCGGGGTCAACAGGATGGGGCTGGGGGAGCGCCCAGAACTGGTTGTCTCCAGTCCTTCCAGTGTCTTAGGTACACATGGAGAAATGACCAGAGGCCTTTGGGAGCAATTTGCTCCTTGAGGTTATTTCTTCTACCCTCCCCAGCCTTGCCTGCCCCGGCCCGGCTCTTAGTCTGCCCTGAGCTAGGGAAAAGCGGGCAGAGTCCAGGTTCCCTCTGTCCCGGTGTCCTCCGTCTGACAAGATCTCGCCTGCCCCCACCTGGGCGGTGTGGGCAGGTGCCAGCCTGTGGTCCACCTGGACTGACCTGAGAAGAAAGTCGGGAAGCTCAACCTGTGGGCGTGGGAGTGTCCCAGTCTGAGTGTGCAGCAGGGCGGGGGACCCAGTGGAAGGGACGTTCCATGTCTGTACTGATACTAAGATTCTGGAAGCTCAAAAGATGGAGAGGATGAGCATTTCCACGTTGGGTGTTCTCACTCCTCACCTTGGCCCAAGTTCCAGACCTTTCCAGAACTGTTTTAGGTGATGAGATTGCTACTATTTGGGTGGCCCGTGTCTTTCCTTGGGAAGAGCTGAAGAAACAGGTACCCTGGTCTGGCTGCTGGCCGTGGGGAGTGAGATGCTCAGGCAGAGTTCCGGGCTGGGAAGGAGCCCACTCACCGCGGCTGTGGCCGGCGTGTGCAGGTGGATGATGCACCGCACGTCGGGCCTGGCTGCGTAGATGGCTGAGTGCAGGCAGAAGCCCGTGGTGTCCACTGGGAAGCAGCTGCTGCCCTTCTCCACCACCTCTCCCAGGATGTTCACCTTGATCTGGGCAGGGGAGAAGAGAGACTTACAGCCGTGGGGAGGCAGAGACCCCTCACTACTCTCCCAGGGGGTGTGCCTGGCACGTGCCCCTTCCAGGTTCACTCACTCCAGACACCAGCAAGGGCTGAACTCACTCTGTGACCCTCACTCCTTTAAGGGGGTCGCAGTTATTCTCATGCAGTGAGAAAATGTGAGCGCAGTTTTCCAGACTTTGCTGTGCGCATGCATCACACGGCACCTGCAGATACTGTCAAAACGCGGATTCCCACCCATGCATGGGCCCAAGTACGCATTCTCATAGGTCCCCAAGTGATACCCACACTGCAGGCTGCAGGCCACACTCTGAGTGGCGAGTAGCTAGATGAGACCCTGTCCCACCACTCCCTCACAGCAGACAGGAGGCTTTAATCCCAGCAGAACAGGAGGGCCAGGGAAGCCTTCCCAGAAGAGCAATGTCCGCCTTGAATCCTTTCTTTTTTTCTTTCTTTAATTTTTAAAACATGCAAGCTAGGTCTTAAGACCCAAACAGAAAGTAGTCACTGTTTTTATAATCTGCTTTTGATTGCAAGGGGCTAGTTGGTGTCATAACTAAAAAAAATAAATAAACAATCACACACTTGAGTATGTGTACTTGCATGTGTGTGCGCATGTATACATGTATGTGCATGCACACACGCACACACCTGAGAGAGAGAGTGTATGCTGGTGGCTGGTCCTGGTGTTCCCTGCTTCACAAAAATAATTTCACGGAACATGAATATCAGAGGTCACTTTGTGACTGTAATACAAGGCAAACGACCACTCCTTAAACACAACTAAGCAAGACAAAAACATCACAAAAATGACAACACCCCCGTCTCCTGGCTAACAAGAGAGGCTGCTGTTTCTGCCAAGGACAGCTTTAGCCTCACTCTGTCCTCCTCTCCGCCTCCTATTGGGTCACTGGACACATTTTTGCATAGAAAAATACATGATGACTTTTCCAACAATACAATAGATAAAAACTAATACAAAATCCAACCTTAGGTTTCCCAACAGAGACCTCTCCCAGATCACCTACACAAGCCCACATCCTGGAATACACCCTCCAGCTCCCCCACGCGATCTGCCTGTGGCTGGCAGTTAACCTGACTTACCTCTACAGCGGTTCCCCCATGTTAACAAGCTGCCTCACCGTCCCTAAAAAGCGAGGCTAACTGCAGCATCCACGACGCCCTGAAAGCAGCACCCAGGGCAACTCCACAAACCACCCACCAACCCACTCCCAGAAAGCCTGGGTGGACAAGATGGAGACCAAAGAACAGAGACAAACCCCAGTGTGGGGAAAAAACAGGCTCCTGGCATTTGCTTAAGCAGAAGCCAAAATACGATATTCAGCAAGGCCCCTTTAGGTTTAAGCTAGGTTTTCAGAGCAGGCTGACCCCCAGAAGCAGCAGCAGCTCTCCCACCTTAGGCATTTAACACCTGAGTGTCCAGCGTCGACCTCTGGTTTCCCTTCGCCCCTGCTTCCCCGGATGTGTAGCCTGTCCGGAATCCTCTCTCTAGGACAGGCGTGCTCTGATTGCATGTACTCCTCACCTCATTGTCGCTTAAGAACCCTCGTGGTCCAATAGGCGAGCCACGACCCCACAAGCGCCTTTGTACAAACGAGAGTGCAGGCGCCCAGGGCCTCTGGGCTAGGTGTGTGCATGATGCTGTCATACAGACTCGAAAAAGAGGCTGAGTGCCAGGATGTACTCGGTGAGTGGGCTCAGGCCGGGTCTCACACTCTCCTCTCTGCCTCAGCAGCCAGGCCCCTGTGCAGTGCACAGACTCACAATCATGCACAGCGGCACTAAGTCCCCTGTGTTCTCTCTCTGAGCATCTCAGGACAACGATTCTTGTATCTCTAGGTACGATCTCTTCCAAACCTAGGATAATCAAATACTAACTGACTTTTCCTCCTGAGTGTCCCACTAGCTTCTCAAACTACCAATCCCATAGTCCCAACCCAACGGGTGGTCAGGCTCACTAAGCAGGCCCAGAACTGCCTTCCCAGCTTACTGTAGCGCACCAGTCTGTTGTCCTCATGTAGCTGGCCTCCACGTGATCACCAGTGATCCTCCCACAACAGCAACAGCACCTACCTCCAATGCCTCAGCGCCTCTGCACGTCCAGCAGAATAAAGCCGAAACACGGTAGCAAGGCCTCCCACGCCATCTGTCATCTGATGCCTATCCCTTTCCCTCCCTCCCCTCTGGACTCTGGGTGCCTCAGCCAGCTTGGCCACTTGCCCACGTGCCCTCCCAAGTGCACAGGAATCCACATGCCTCTGACCTTGGTGCATGCTGCACTTGACCAGGACACAGTCACCTCCGGCAGACCTCTCCCCGCCACCCTGGTCTAACTGTGCTTATGCTGTTGGCTCAGCAGGACGGCACTCCTGCATCATCGCTTCTACCTCCAAGGCACCTCCCTCGCCCCCTCCACCCAATGCAGCTGGGTGCTCCTTGTCCCTGTAGGTCCCCATTCTCTCTCGGCTATCACCTCCTTGAGTCATTGCCCTCTCTGGGTACCAGTGACCTCTCCTGCCTACAAAGTGGCCATGGCCATCTTGAGGTCCTGCCCAGCCCAGGTACTTTATGACTTTTTCGTCATGGACTTCTCACTGCATAGCTGTGTTCTACACCTGAGTGTGTCTGACGTCGGGCAGTGTCCTCCTCTCCCAGGCGCCTGCCATAGCGGCCGTAGCCCACACATCTGTGAAGGGCGGGGCCTCATCCCCTCCCCTAGTGACCTCCCCTCATCTAAACCAACTCTAGAAGTCTCTTTCTACCCCATTTAAAAGGAGTAGCACTGAAAGGTGACCAGGAAGCTGTCTCTAACAGCACGGACCTTGCTTTCGTCCTGATTCTAATATGTCTTTCCAGTCAAGAAGGCCCCCCAGCTCCCACCCTTCATGGTCCAGTCCCAGGGGCACAGCCATCTGGGAGTCTGCTCAGAGGACTCCAGCCCATCTCCTCTCCCCCCACCCCCTGTTGCTCTTGCAGCCTGTCTTGGTTGCATCATGCTCAGGGCACTTGGTTTGCGTCTTTTGTGCCCTACCACACTGCAAGCTCCACAGGGACAGGACAACTGGCTAAGAAGATGATCAGTCACCGTAGGCACAGAAAGGGTGCTGTCGTTCCAATAAGTGGACAGTGAGATGCTGCACTATACTCACCAGGCTGGATGCCGTGACTTCACTGCAGGAGACTCCCTTAGGGCTAATCAGGAAGTGGTCCTGCTCCTTGCTGACTCTCAACTGGAGGAAAGACACACATTCTCAGGGGCGAGAAGGCAAAGGGAGCATTTTTAAGGACACTGCCTGAATTCCCTCTTCCCCTGGACCCATTGTGTCCAAGTCTTCCTCCAGTGAACCCTTCTTCTTCTATTCATGAGAGATGAAGGCTTGGCCACTATTTGGAGCTGGGGAAACAGAACTACAAAAAGGAATCTTATAACAGTCAAGGGTAGCTCTAGATACCAGATCCAAGAGTTCTTAGTTCCCATTCAAAGAAGTGCCCACTGGGCAGGTTGTCAATTGCAATGACCACTGTGGCTGGTCCTCAGAAGGACTCAATGCATTTTGGCCAATGACCACCAAGCAATGCCAAGGGTCAGGAATTCTCCCTTTCGATTCTGTGGAGGCCATATGCAATTGCCCCACTCCTCCAAGGTGCCTTCCTCACCGTGACGTAGGTGTCGCTGAGCTGGGCCCAGCCATAGAGGTCCAGGAGTCGGTAGACGCTGCTGATCTTGCACCGCATGAGCCGCTCCCCCTTGGCCAGGTTCAGCGAATCAGCCGTGTGGAGGTCATTGATGGGCGTCATCATGGAGAAGTCTGCAAGGACAGGGGCCGGGACCATGCAGCCCTTTCAGGGTCAAGGGTTGCCACCGTCCCTCCCCTTCCTTGCTCCACGCATCTCCAAATTCTCACTGGCACTAAGCCTGCACAAGAAGGGAACTAAACATTCTTTTTTTTTTTTTTTGGAGAGATTTTCTCTATAGGGCATGTGCGCTCGCCAGACAGACAGAGAGAGACAGAGAGACAGAAAGCAAGAAATCACCCCCCGGGGGGATGGTCATGTAGCAATCCCTTCTCCTCCATTCTCCTCTCGGGATCTTGGGCACACACGCACACACGCCCGGCATGAGTTTTAAGCCACCAGGTCCAGGATGTGAACTGCGGTCGACTACATGGGAGTCCAGCGACATAGCCATTATGCTAACTGCTGGTTCCCTAAACATTCTTTGATCCTTGTCAAGAGGAGAAAAATCCGTAGAATGGACATTTATGCCCATTATAGCCCTCTGAATATTCAGGTAAGAATGGCAGTGCAAGAAGAACACATTTCTGATTGGTAATACTGGGTACATTTCATCAGTTACAATAGTTTTCATGACAAAGTTATTAATCATTAAACCTGCTGTGATCGTGTTGTTCGAACTGCCGTGGGACAGAACTATGTCTGTGATCTGGAAGTAAGGCAGACAGGAAGCTACATCGGCCAGGAAGTAAATTCTTTTCCTATTGAGTCATAAACTCCCAGAAGTCAGTGTGGCTGTGACTGACTGAAGGCCTGTGGTCTTGAGCAGGGCACGTGGTTATGGGGTGACCCTGTCTGGGCATTTTAGGGGATGTGTAAGGGACTTGGAAATGGGCCTAGCAAGTCTGATAGTTTTGTTCTCAGGACACCCAGAAGGCCTGAGAGTTGATAGTCCAGTTTGTCCCACTATAATGACCCATGTCTGTGCTTCAGGAAGGCATACGAGGGCACTGCTTGGAGGCCAAGCACGGGGACTAGTCAGTGCCTAGGAACCAAGGAAAGAATCAACAGGCAAGGAGCATGGCTTAAAATGATGTCTGGCTGGAAGTCTCTTGATGCTTCCTCTCCCAGCTCCCCACTAACAACTTTAATGTACTGAAATGCTCTCTGAGCTTTCACCATCTCTGTAAACCTCACTGCTGCACAAGGGAACGTGTGTCCTATGTCAGGTTTCCATCAGTTGAAGTGATGAGATGGTCTGTAAATGTCAGGGCTGGCTGGGTGCCGCTGGGCTAACATCCAATGAGCAGAGCTCACTTTGAAACACCCGCTGTCGGGGAAATGCACACAAAGGCCTGGGCCACCCAGGTATGATTCACCTCCAGGGCGTGTGCCAGTACATATAGCTGACAGGGACAGTGCTCCAAAGGCCCAGTTAGGCCATAACAGCCGCAAAGGTTCAAAATCAAGGATTTTTCATTGAAATTGAATAGTGGGGGATTCCCTCCTCCTCTGAGTCCCCTAGATAAGAAATGACCTCTTTGCTTCATCCCTACCAGCAAGATGGACTGGCAAGGTCAGGGAGGTGAGGCTGTTGCTGGGAGGGTCTTCAGACTCAGAGTTCTTTGCCTCCTCCTTTAACAAATAACTTATGAAGACCTTGAGTGGCCAGGAAGCCAGAACAGTCTGATGCTCCTTCCATCACATCCTCTGTGTCCTGTATCAGAACCCCCTCCTTAACCCTCTGGAGCTTTTGCTATGAGGATCACCTCACCCACAGCAGTAAGGGGCAGGAGAATAAATAGGAGAGCTGCATAGGAGTTCTCAGTCCTCTCCTTTGAGTCTTAACATAAAGAATGCTTATTCTCGGGGCAGTAGGTAGTGCGGTGGTTAAGGCGCTGGACTCTCAACATGGTCAACTGTAGTTCGAGTCCCAGTCTTGGTGGCATGAAAATCACTCCAAGTGTGTGTGTGTGTACATATCCAGATCCTAAGAAGAGAATAGAGGAGAAGGGATTGTAGTGTGGCCTTCCCTCCTGCAGGGCGGGTGGTGGTGACTTCTCACTTTCCTTCTCTCTAATGAGCACACACACCTTATGACAAATACTAAAAAAAAAAAAAAAAAAAAGAATGTTTCTTTTGATCAGCCTCATGAAAGTTAAGATGACTGAGTACCATGTTTATGACTCAGATCTAACTGGACTATTTACTTAAAGTATCTAAAAAAAAAAAAAAAAAAAAGATAAAAACTTTTCAAAGTCCCTGAAAGCTAAGACTAAAGAGCATACCAAGGCCCCGAACTCCAAGCTCCAAGGCAAATGGAACTAGACAGAAAACAACCCAACTGGGCTTGAAGTCAGGACACACGGAACTTGTCTTCTTCACTTTTCCTGACTCAGTACCCTGGATGTATACTAAACGGGTTTTCTGTCATCCCTCTGTCCTCCTCAAGTATGTTGATTGGTGAGGCAATGGGAGTGATGATCAGCCCTATTCTTCTCTCAAAAGGAAGAGTATGAGAACAGAGACATGTAAATGAAGACAGGCAATATGAAAGACATGGATGACAAAGACTAAGAAAATAATCGGTATGGATGTAAGTAGAAGAAAAGTTTCCTGAACTGAAATAAAAACAACCAAACAAACAAACCTATGTATAGAAATTGTAAGGAAGTACATCACAGGTGGGAAAACTCACCAAAAACAAAACAAAACAAACTCTACAGTTATAGCATTCCTGGCAACATTTCTGAAATATAGCAATAAGGGCAAAAATCCATAAGCATCCAGAAAAACAAACAAACAAACAAACAAACAAAACAGTTGCATTGTCTAAGATTTCTCTGTCGCAATCACGGGATATCAGAGGACAATACTACAGGAGGTTTTACAAACAAACAAAAAACACACAATAGCAAAAAACACTATAGTAAAGTGACCCAAACAGGTAAAACTAGAAAGAAAGTCAAAAGTACACCAATAAATGTAAACAAAAAATAAAGAGATCATAATATTATTATCAAAGCAGAAATTACACAATATTCTCTTGGACAAAAAGATATTTTACAAGTAAGTTTATATGGATAATTAAGCCTCCAGCAAACAAAGCTAGCGTGCGGCAGGAGAGTTGAGGCCTTCCTCCAGAAGAATACACCACATGGCTCCTGCAAACTAGTCATTTCAGGGGATAGGAGAAATGAAGATTTTCTACAGATAATTCAGCCTCCAGCAAACAAAGCTAGCGTGATTGAACTTCAAGAATTCGAAAGACACACACCATCCATCAGATGACAAGAAATCACCACAGGACCACAAGAAGTATGGGAAAGCAAGAAAATACCTTTCCTCCAAGGGAAAAGAATAACTCCTCTTCACCCACAAGCAGTTCAATGCAAATCATGGAAATGTCTGATAAGGAATTTAGAGCATTCATAATGGTGAAGCTAACTGAGATGGAAGAGATGAGAGACAATGAACTGCTAAAGAGAAAGGAGAAAGAAGTTGACGAGTTCCAGGAGGTGAGGAGATTCTTGCAAGATCTAAAAGAGGAATTACACGCTTTACAAAAGAGTCAAACAGAACTGTTAGAAATGAAGTCTATAATACAGGAAGTCAAAACCTCCCTTGAAAGTATTAAAAGTAGACTAGATCATACAGAAAATAGAATCTCAGACGTAGAAGAGAAAATGGCTGGCCTAGAAAAATTCACCACGAAGACTGAGAAAATGGCACAAAAAGTTGAGAATAATATACTAGAAGTACTAGATACCATCCAACGTCCAAACATCTGGATAATTGGCATTCCAGAAGGTGAAGAGACCCATAAGGGCATTGATAATCTATTCCATGAAATCCTGCAAGAAAACTTTCCAAGCCTAGAGAGGCATTCAAAGATCCAGTCCCAAGAAATACAAAGGACCCCAAATAGAATCAACCCAAGAAGATCTTCTCCAAAACACATTATAGCCAGGTTGACCAAAACCACAGACAAAGACAAGATACTAAGATTGGCAAGAGAAAAACATCAAGTTAC